GGGACTGTCTGCAAAGCTGGTGGTTTTGATGAGAATGACATGTCCAGCAAGTATTTCCCTGTCTACTGATTTTATATAAAATCTATAGAAGACTAGGCCCATTTTGCATCCAGGAAATGGTCACATTTTGGGGTAGGTCTTATCACTGCAGTGAAAGCATTGTCCTTTTCCAAAAACCCACAAATTCTATTATGACCATTATTGCCAGTAGCCCCCATCAGTATCTGCAATGTCTGGGGTGGAGTCAGCTGGCCACCTAACCAACCCACAACCTGCTGTTGAAGTGAGAAAAACTTAACAAAATTTCCCAAATTATGCTTTTAGTAAGCAAATACCTGGTGTTGCCCATGACTTTTCCAACTGCCTAGACAACAGGAGAGGTCAGAGAGGCAGAAAGATTTCTTTAAAGATCTGAGCTCTATCCCATTTCTAGGTGCCCATCTCCTTCCCCGAGGAAAGAAATTTACCTCTGCAAATTTCTCTCTCTTTCTCTATGTAATCCTCATTCTAACAGTTTGCTTCCACATCTCTGACAATCATTAATGTCTGAAACTAAATCTATGGTAAATTTTTCCCAATTTTTTAACTGCTCTTAACCTCATACTTCCTCCAGCCCATAATCAGGGAAAATTTTAGATTCTCCTCCCTCTTTCAGTCACTGTATGAGCCAATTCAATTTGTCTTCTCTTACATAATAGCTCACAGATTCATCCTTTCTTGCAGCAGCCAGCTAAGGCTCACAGCAACATCACATCTTTTTGCCTTTAGTCTGCAATAATCTGGTCTCCAGCCATGTTCCAGCACTACTGCTGCCTTCACTTTCATCTAAAATAGCAAGATCAGAGCCCTGTTCCCAGCTCATTGCTTTGGCTGCATCACCACTCTCCTTGTGTCCTTGCAGTGGTTTTGCATTTTTGAACACAAGCAACTTACCTTTGCCTTTAAGATCCTTCACATTTAGCCTCACCCTATCTGTCAAATATATTGGCCTATCAAACTGTCTGCTTCTGCACCTGTGTTCTGACAAAGATGACAGCCTTGATCACCACTTCTGCTTTTTCCTTAGTCACCTCTGTGCTTTCATCTGCCCATCCCTATGAAAAAGGAATACTACTATGGAAAATACTTTATTTCTCCTTCCCTGCAGGCTTCTCTGTCCGGGCACAGAGGAATAAGCTCCATAATTCTGTTCCTGCACTGGTCTAGCAAATGTAAGGCTGGGGTTTCAGCTAAATCCTGTTCAATTTGTACTTCTCATATGCTTTCATCTAACTCACACTGAGGTCATCCACCACGACTGACCTTGAGAAAACTTGTAGTTTTGCTACCTGCCTCCAACCTGCACATCACATGAGAGCCCTTGCCACTTTTAGAAGTGCTAGCAGTGGCTGTGAGGAATCTCTCTTTGGAATTGTTAATAAGGAATCTAAGTTGTTTTTATAAAGATAAGGGGCCATGTCCATGAAAGGTGTTAAGTGCCTGACCTATGGAAATCAGTAAAAAATTAGGGACTTCATAGAAACTAGACAGTCTCCTCCCTCTAGCTCTGCAGATGTATTTTTGAGGCCTCAAGCCTCAAATGGCTGCAGCAGAGAGTGTGGGTGGTTAGCTCTGCCTACACTGAACTACAGTGCGAGGGTTTCCCTATAGCTGCACCTCTTCCCAGCAAGGGAAGCTCAGTTTCTGGGTCAGTGCTGTCATAGCCTCTGTTGCTTCATTGGTTTTGTCTCTTACATATACTATTTTTGTCTTCTCACCTCCTCTCCTGCAGTTAGTGAACACAAGCCCCAGATAATGGCCGTATCTTATAGCCATAGAAGTATCCCTGCCACACCAGTGACACGCTGGCAAGTTCCAGCTCAGATTTTCACTCATAATATCTTCCTCCCCTGGTCTGGTGATGAGCTAGGAAAGAACAGCTTCATGCCCTCTGCATATGAGCTTTTTCATTGTGGTTGCTCAGCTGCCACATCGAGACCTGCCTTTAAGGTAATGACCTGGTCACAGACTCCAGCATTGCAATGATTAATTTTAACGAACAAAGGTATTTATTCTCAGCTATCATTATTATTCAGCTTGCTGAGGTCTTGGGAACCTCTTTGGGCTGTTGACTTGATGCACTTTGGGAGAGGTTATGGCATTGGATTGCTCAGGACTCTGAGACAGCTGAAATGGATATTAATGACTAGACTCATTGTTACATAATTGCATAATATCAGGAGGCTGTTACACTCAAGCAGTTTTGGCCACTTCCCCTTCTTTCACAGAAGCCAAAATCTTGTACCTGGACTGTGTTGCCTAACAAAAGTGTGCTCTTTCTGGCCATTTTTCATTTGCTGCTTCTACTACTATGAATTCTTGGCAATGAACCTTTGTGTAACAAGAGTTATGATATGGAGTTAAATGACAGAGTTTGGAAGAGGTTTTAACTTTATTAACTCTTAGCCACCAAAGTGGAATGGTGTTATATTTGGACTTTTTAGTCTTTTGATGTTTCTAGAAATCCCACTGAAGCACTGTTGACTGAAGTTCAGTCACTCATAAAACTTTATAGATCGTTAAAATTTCTGTTTATTCCAGCTCTGAGGGAGATGTAGGTTACATTATTTTAGATGTTACTAAACTTTACTCTTTAATGACCAACAAAAATCAGGTCAAAATTAAATCCCAGAGATTTAGTTTAGAGGTTAATTTTGCCAGTGGACAGCCTGGAAAATAAAATTTTGTCCCAAATAAGTAATATTAATTTGTCTTTAATTTCATCCCCCTGAATGCGGGAAATGGACCAAAAGTGAAATAGATGGGAATCCTTGAGTTGTTCTCAATTCCTTATAGGAGGAGATACTTTTTAGTCTAAAATGCTAAGTTGAATGCTAATTCACTTACTTCACCTTCCATTTCATAAGGCCTTGTACCCTGATTTTTCACTTCAAACAGACACAAGCTTACTCTGGTCCCATTTTGGAAGAACCAAGTCCCTGAAAATCAAAACATTTGAAATTTCTGGATTGCAAGAATTGTTCAAATAAATGTATAAACTGTGTTGTGCTGTTATGGCAAAAAGATCTATCACATGCCTAGTGGGTTCTTTGGACAACCCCAGCAAGGTTCTTCAGTCCAACAAAGGTTTTTCGGCAGAATTTCCTGAGAAGGAAAATCTGACCTTGACAAAAGGATCCATCATAAGACAGTGAATTTAATCATTGTGACTTCTTTTGCATTATGCTGTGTATATTTGCCCTTTCTGCTCCCTATCCATAATTATATGTCAGTTTGCTTCCTCCTGTTTCCCATACTCCTCCGGTATGCTGGCTTCCATATCTGTGCAGACCTGTCCCAGAACAGCACTTTCACACAAACCTGCAGCCTGTGAACTGCCTCAGCAGACTTTGCTTGTGCTTGTAAGAAATGCTGAAAAGTACTCAAATAGAAGTATCTGGTAATTTTCTTCAGGCTCCTGCTCTCCTGGTACAAAGTGTTTCAGGGTAGTTATTTTTAGGTGCTGTCTGCATGTAAAACTGAAAAGTGCCAATGATTTTCCCATGCTAAATCATCTTCCTGGTCAGTGTGCTCCTTTCCTGTTTCAGGTTTCAGTGATGACTAAGATCCTAGAGAAATCTTCAGCTACTCTGAGGTCAAAAAGATCTCATTTGGAATCTCTAACATTCAGCATGCTCTGTTGATGCTGCACTTCTCTATAGAAAGCTTTTTAAAGCTTTGCATAGTAAAGAGAGATTTACACGCTCTCTGTAACTCACCCTTTTCAAAGGCTCTGCTTCTCAGTTCAAGAGCTGCATAAATGCATGTTTTTCCTTTTTTACAGGATTACTTTAGAACAAACACATTGTGTTATGATTGGTAATTAAATCAATAAATCTCTGAAACAATTCACAGCTTTTGATTTATTTCAATGGTCAGCGCAACATCTTGTGCTCACATTGAGCTCTTTGAAAATTATATATGGCTATGTTGACAAGTTAATTTTTTCCATTCCTTCTCTTTCGCACTTCCTAATGAGATTGAAGACTGCATATAGCTCAACCATTTTTTCATAATGTACTTTCTGGAGTACTTAGCACTTATGTTTCATATCAACTTTTATTTTGAGTAATGAATTAGCACTTAAACCCCAAAATCCCTCTGACAAGAACTTGAATGTACATGTACTTTCCCAAGTATCACAAATAATACATCCAAATGTGCACACAATATAAATGTGTGCTCATCAAGGACGGGAAGGAAAGTATATAAAAACATTTGGATCTTCATTTCAGGCAGGCGTGCTGAAGTCTGGATGTTTGTTAAAGGTCTGTCCAAATGTATCTGAATCTTTGGCTTTGGAAATCAATCGGAAATCTTGCAAGGTCAAACTTTCTCATGAGATTACCTCTAATACCTCTTCAGCTTCAGTGAGGCCAGTAAAAATACCACAAAATGCTCTCTTGTCCCCTTTTTCTCCCAGCTGAAAATGGAAAAGATGAGGAATGTGAAAATTAAACAATTAATCAAATTTTTTTCCAACCCTCAGGAAAAGGCTTGGTTCAGTTCAAGTTTGGTTGGTTTTGTTTTTTACAAGGTTTCAGGTTTGCTCTTGTTTTATGCAAACTTCTTCAGAGAACTCCAGTCTGTATGTGAATTGCATTAATTCTCGTGGTCAGAACTGCTCCTGTTAGTTTTAATGGGCTTAATAACTGCTCCACAGCCTTTCAGTTTCAGAGTACAGTGTTTTTAGGGGTTTCTATCCTTACATGCAACCACATTCCCAGGTTTTTCCCACTTCCTGATACTGTGGGGTACTTTTTTCCAACAACTCTCCTGACACATAAGGAAAACACTGATCTATAAATCTATTTTAACTGTGCAGAGGCATAGTCAAGCCTATACATCACACACGTTATATTGGGCTAATGTGGCATTTAATGTGATACAGACACACTCTTCAGGGATGTTGTACATCAATGTACCATACATGTTTTTGACCTAGTGATGATTTCCTGAAACACTATCTTCTGCTGAGAAGGAATTCCAGGAACACTTTTGCTTTGATCCTGATACTGCAAAAATGATCTTCAGAACTGGTAAGTTCCTGAAGTTGTTTTCAGTTTCCAAAGCCTATATCTCATGCTTTAGATTAGGAGCAGTTTTAGATGATTCATCAAACAAGATGATTAGGATAACTGTGAACTTCAAAGTTGAAGGTAAACAAATCGTACTGTGAAAAATAACATATAACATAACAAATATAACATACATTATTAGCACATAAATATCATTCTCTCTTGTAACTGAGGAAGATTTTGAATAGCTGATGGTTGTCACAGAATAATGGCAGCATCAAAGAAGAAGTGTCCAGGTGGAAATTCTTTTTTGCCCCTCTTCATTCTTCTTTACACTGGTAAGTGAAATGTCAAGGAAGTTATTCCAAAATTAAGTTTTTGCCAAAATGTTCTCTAACGAAAATAGAATAAACATGCTCTTTTTGACCACTTCATAAGAAAGGAAGTTAAAACCATGAAATTACACAAATTTTATTACTGGATTGTTTGTTTTTCTCTGTAAAAAAGTTCATGATACAATAGATGAAAGGTCTGAAATAATTAAGAAAAAATAATACAGTTGCAAGTATAAGTTTGGATTTTCTTTTTGTCTCAACAAATGTGAGAATACCAAACTCGCACTTCTGAAGGTGTCCATGTACCAATATGCAAAATATAATTACTTTTCAGCTTAAATGACATTGGTTCATTTTCCCACTGGGACTGAAAATTAATTATAAAGAGTTGCATGTTTTCCAGTCCTTTTGCTTTGTTCTGAACACTGTTAATTTAGTCTGCAGTTTGATGATTAAGTTATTTTTAAGTCCTCACACACTGTAAAAAAGAAAGAAATAAAAAGGATTTATCCCAACAAAAAACCTTCACTTTTCCAAGAGGCCTGTTGAACAGAAGGTGTTTCAGACACTCATGATGCAATTAAAATTACTCATTGTACTGAAGTCAATAGCTGGCATGAGGCAAGTAACTTTACTGGGATTAGTCCCAGTTGCATTTCAATTCAGCTTCCAAATTTCAGCTGTACTGAATTATTCTTGGTTAGACAAAGGAATGGGGAAAAATGGAGGGATAATATTATTTCAGCAGTCTTGAGAGATGTCCATCATTTTTTTTAAAAACTACATAGATACATTTATTCAACATTTTAAAGGCTTATTTCTTAACGCTGTTCTTACTTGTCTTCACCATTTTTTCCCTTCCCAAATTACCACTAACTAGCAATATTGAGTGAGACTTCGGTTTAAGTCAAAAAGAACAATGAGAACTCATATCACACTAAGATTTGTGCTTGCCATGCAAACCAGTTCAAGTGTGCTCCTTAGTGTTCCAAGTTTAATGGGGAGGATTTGTGATATTTTGGACTACATTTATGCTAGTAAAACAATTACAGTCAGGACATCAGTTTGAACAACTTCCCAGGATGATCTGTTAAATGTAACTGTTAGAATACTTCCCAGTTGTGACATGAGACAATTAATACTCTCCCAAATAATGTGAAGGGGAGGGACTTTTCCCAGGAGGTGTATAGACAAGGAGGAGAAAGAAACATTTTTAACAATCACAGTTTCTCATGGCACTCATCCCTGAGATTGACATCTGTCCCATTTTCTCTACTGTAGGGGTCAACTGTCCATATGCAGGGCAGGGAGTCCATGTGCCTGCTCAGGATGCAGTGGTCAGTGTAGCCAAAGAGGAAAACTGAGTTGCCATGAAGAGAGCAAAATCTTGAACCACACTCTCTACCACCAGAGACCAGGATGCATCTGTATTGGGTGTGTTTGGAAGAGTAGTGGCAGGTCCTTTACATGTCAGTTGTTTGAAAAATGATCTAAGTATCTTTCCTTATGCCCAAGAACACAAATTCAGTCACAGTAGGTTAACTGATGGAAATGAGATTTCTTGCATATGAAAAACAAATCTGATACTACTTTTATACTCAAAAATAAACAGTATCTATATAGAGAAGAATGAAATTACATAAGACAGCAAGTAAGAAGCTGAATTCCTCATGGGACTATTTTTTTTATCCTGAAGACTGGCATAACATCTCTGTTATATGGTGTTAAACAGTTATAAAATTCTTCTTTCAGTAGTTTGTGCATTCCTTGGCCCCAGTAAATAATTCTTTTTCACTCTTTCTTATTTTTCTTTAAGGGAATTTAATCATTATGAGTAGTTCCAGATTTGTAGCACTGGAAAAGGAAGACTTCAGCTTTCTGGAAGGTAAGCCGGTGTGTAGCAAAAATGCAAATATATTCATGATGCACTTCCGCTTTTTAGCTTCACAAGGAAAACGACTCTCTGGAGCATTCTGTTTTTCACACTTCATTAAGAGCTTCTACTATGCTCTAAATACATCTTTCTAAGTGTATAAGTGTGTGACAGAGTAGAAGATGGAAATAGGTAGTCTTTCCTTAGGGTTCCCTTTTCTTTCACCAGAATGAATGGTTGGACAGCAGAGGAGTTGTCTCCCCAGGCCAACAGCTCTCTCGCTACCTGGTGTTTGGGGGGGTCACACCAAAACCAAAAGATTACAGGTAGAGAAACCACGGGAACTCAACATTGGTTCCCAGGTCAGATTACAGGCAGGCTTTCTGCCATCAGGAGTGTTGTCTGCTCTTCCCTGGAACTTCCCTTCCTGATTCTTCCTGGAATGCACCACAAAGGTGGGAGGAACTCTATGAGCCATCTCAGCATTCAGCAGCTCTAAGTGTTTGAACAGTGGCTGAAGTGGAATCAACCAACAGTCCTTGTTATAGTCATCTATAGTCCTTTCATAGTCATCTGTCCTCAAACCAGCTGCACAGAAGGACAAGAGGGAGAGCTGGGGCTGAAGACAAAGGCAGCACAGCTGACACTCTTGTCTCTGCACATGCAGTACAACATGTATGGCAGCCTGTATCTTCCACTGGGAACTGTACTGAACTGCACCAGGAAAACTGAAATTTATGTGATGGGAACAAAATACAACAAATTTAAGAGCTGGACTAGAACCAGTTACATATTTCGCTAGGTAATGTCAATGATAAATTACCAGATTTGGTAACTAGATTTTACAGAAGTATGAATCTTGTGTGTGTCCAGAAGAGAAGATTTAAAGTGAAATGGGATACAGTGTGGTAGGAAAGAATTCCAAATGGCTGCCACTAGTAAAAACACAGTTTGAATCTGTTGTCTAAGCAGAAACATGCAATTTTCCAGGGTATAAATAGAGTTGGTGAATTTCTGTGTCAACAAAAGTGCAAAAATGGTTTAAGGTAAGTTAATAGAAAGGCCATAGTTCAGTGCCAATCATTTCAAGTCAGAGTCCTCTGACTGCATATCAAATGTATACAGACTGCTCTAGTTTCAAGCTAATTGGTTTGGGATTTTCCAGTGCTCTGTACTGCTTGATCGGGAACACATGAGACCATAGAAGTGTCAAAGGATATCACTGGCAATACCCCAGTAGCAAATCTTTCCCCTTTTCTTGCATGGTCCATTTAACTGAACACTCATATCAGTGGCAGATTCATTGCAAAACACATTTTTCATTTTTATTCCCTTTTTATGAAAGCTGTAAAGTTATATGCTTAAAAGACTTTGGCTAAAAAACTATGTGAAAATGGATAACATTTACTTTTCCTAAGCTTGGGGTGGAGTAAGTGGTTCACATTTATGAATACCCCTGAATGTGATGCATTTTTATAAACATTTCTACTTACAAGCTATTACCATATGTCTGATTTAAAAGGCATTTTGAGAGATTAAATTCAAAATACCTGCTGTCTTTATGCATATGAGGAGGTCCAACAACTCATACAAGATGCATTAGGGAGGACTAAAAAAAAAAGGCTGCTGATTACTTGTTTTTCCTTAGTTTACTTCTTTATGCAACCTGAGGATATCTTAAATACATTACAGAGGCATTCTGCCCACCAATGGGTGTTCAGAATAATGGCATTATCTGAAGTGGTCCAAGCTGACAAAACAATCAGAGCCAAACCTGAGCCCCCATTTTTTATGGAAGGAAAATTCCCATTGACGTCAATGGGAGTTTTGCCTGACTACAAAATAAGGAAATTGGCCCCAAATGATATCTCCAAAGGGGGCTTTACTCACAGCACAGCAGCTGTATCTCATGAGCCAAATCTCCAGATTTCCATTATTCTTCTCCCAGCCATTAGTGAAATTACTAAGTGAGCCAAAGTAAGAATAATACCTCTGCTCTGGGAAGTGAGGCTAAGGCATACATAATACATATTCTGCATGTACACCCACAGCTTACAGGCATGTCACTGTTCTCAGAAATAACGTTACAGTAACAGGCCACCATGCTTGCTACAGTAAAATGAAGGCAATTGACTGCAGGGGCATCAAAGACATAGAGCACCATAAAAGCGAGCAAAGAAAGGAACTATGGTTAGATTCAAAAACACTCAGGCCCATGAAAAAGGTTTGTTTCGGGTTTTTTCAGTTCAGTTCTTTTTATGCAGTGACTTCTTGATATAATAAACAGGAATAGTTATGGGAAAGTATAGATCAGGAGTCCCTCCTTCAGGAAATTGCCCAGATCTCCCTCTTGTTCTCTGGCCTTAACTTTCTTTTTTGCATTTACTTTGACAAAATGAACTATGTTCACTTCTCTTTCCTTCCCCATAGCCAGGGTTTAAGGCAATCAGGTGGGAGATCTGAATCTTCATGTCTTTAAGATGAAGAGGATCTGGATCCAGATTTCCTATACCTCAAAGCTGAAGGCTCAAACCATTATATTACATTACATTACATTACATCACATTACATTTTGTTACGTTACATTACGTTACATTATTATTACCATTACATTTATGTAGAGGAGGATGGGAAGGATGTCTTCATGCTCTAGCTTTCTAATGAGGGTGGCACCCACAAAAAAATTTTGTGAGGAATGCCTTTGTTCACACATTTTGGTAGATAATGCTTTCCAGATGAAGTGTCTCAGTGCGCTTTGGATGAGGAGGTAGCTAAGTTCTGAACCCCAGGCAAGCTTATGGACAACATCTGTCCAAGGCTACTTAGTTTACTGAGGTAAACATGCTCCATTTCTGCTCCTTAAGACCCCTGACCCATGTAGCAATGTGGAGTGCCAAATGACAACTAGTAGCTCAACAAGAAAATTCAAAGAGGAGGCTTCCGTCGCCAGTACAAAGCCACGAAGCCTTGGTGAATTAGCCCACTTACATACTCTCTGTTTAATAAAGTGTGCTCCACAAATGGAACGTGCTGAGCCACCACGCCTGCCACAAGAGGTCTTCTTATCCAATGTCCCCCTGGCAGAGACCCTATAATGCAACATGTGCTCTGGGCAACCTGCACACTGGTGTTTCAATGAGCAAAGTACTGAATGCAGCTTATGGAGAATACAGCCCAGCTGAGCAACAAGATTTCTGAGTAATGACACATTTTTCTGATTTTCAGGTCTTCTGACATCACCAGCTAGAATAAGAGTAAAATAAAAGTATGAAAGAAATGGAAAGGTAAGAGTTCTTTTCAAAGGTCATTGGAAATTCACCTTGAAAATGTGGGGACTTTAATACCAGGATATTCATCAGAAATAGCTTGTCACCATGAGCCAGAAATCCTGTAAGGAGCAGAAATCCCTTTTTATGCTCCTTTACTGTCTCCAGTAGTCAGTGCTGATATTTGCTGAGCTGTTCTCAAGTTGTGTGTGATAGAGGTCTGGCAGTCCAGTGACATGCTTACTGTATGATCCATCCACTACCAGACAGCTTACCTGGGAGCTAGCACCTTGATGGCCCCTGAACCTCCTTCTTGGTAACCAGGATATGCCATTATGGATTAAAGCACATCATTCTATTAATTTCAGCAGCTGAATGGGCTGTAGCCACAGTCATGCTGGCACTTTTCTATTCAGGAAGTGGGCCATATTGGCACAATCCAAAAAGCAAACACATGCCTCACACAAACATGTTCAGCATTACTGTCAGGTCATCCTTGTAGAGCAGTCCAATAAGCCTGGTGTATCAGCCACTCCTCCTGGTTTTATGCCATGAGTGAACTTGAGGATACACTCTGTCCCATCATCCAGATTTCCAAAGAAGTTCTTCTCTTCAAAGGGTGAAAAAATCTTGCAGTCTTTCAAATATGATTTTCATATTATATTAGTGAGTTTTCAACTGTGGCATAAGTTGAAAATAAGTTTAAAATAAGTTCCTAGTTAAATTTAGGTATCTGCCAAGGGAAAAAAGCAATTAGCACATAGAGTTATGTTTTTAAAATTGATGCAAAAATTTCCCTGTCATTGAAATGAACATCAGAAGTGCTGTGATCAAACTGGTCTCTTAAAGACGAAGTAACAACACGTGTTTCACCTTCACTAGGCTTCTTTCACAACATGCTTCTTGCAGAAAAACAACTTTTGTCAGCTTTCTGGAGTCAGTGAGCCTATACTGCAGCAGGCCTGGGTCACAGCCAGAAAGTGATTGTCTTCAGAGGATTATGGGTAAGGCCTTACTAATTAACTGTAATGGTAACCTGGTAATGTTTAATAGTGGGTTAGGCATTGCTTTCCCCTCCGTCAGATGTTATCCATTCAAGGAGAAAAAATATTTGTAAGGTGATTTCACTTATGGTTTCAACATATCCTAAATGAACAATCTTTGTTCTCCCACAAATGGTATTGTGTTGGATAACACAGTTGACAAGGTTTCATAAATCCTTTTCCAAGTTCAGCTTAATTGCAACTCAATATTCTTTTGTTTCTATTAACCCAGGTAAATAAATAGAGTGAACTGGCAATTTTGAACTGTGATCTATGGCACAGTCCCCAATGTACTGGCACACAATGAATTCTTGCAGATCACAAATCTGCAAGAAACATGTTTGTGTCTTCCAACAAAATGTCATCAAACCTCTAAAGGAATCCATATTTATACTTCACATGGTGTGCTACGGTTTCACATTAGAAGCAGGCAGGCAGACTCTAAAGTAGCAGGCTTGAAACAGGGAGAGGAAAGATTCCTCCTTTGAACCTTGCTCTTCCAAGCACCTGTACTGCAGCTTATTTAAACTAATTTATTGTATAATGAAAGCAATTATCTTTTTTCCCATTCTTTTCCCTTTCCACACAATTCCTCTGTTATTTATTACAAGTTGATCTTCTGTGCTTCTCCTCCACTACCTAAAGCCCCAATTCTCTGATAATGCAATGTGTATTTTACAATTCACTTCACCTCTCTGTGGTAAAACCCCTTTCAATCCCTAACTAGCAAATGCTCACCATAAAATTTAACAGACTATGGTGAGGTCCTCTAGTAAAGAATTTCTAAAAAAACTAAGCTGTTGTAGGATAAATAACTGCTTAAAATACACAAAACAAAGATTGAGGCTAAGAGGTCACTTTCCAAAGAAGTATACATCTGTTGTCCGGTGTTAAACTGTTCTGGAACTGTCCTGTTTAGCATATTTATACAGGAACTGGATGAACAAGAAGGCAGCAATATTTGCAGACCATAAAAAATAGACCAGAGTAGCCATAATCAAGAAAAATTCAAAGAATTGTGGAAGAATCTTCTAGGGATAAGAGACAAAATAGGATTTGGAGTTTATTTGACAAGTGTAAAGCAATGCACACAGGCAAAAAATTCCTTATGGTTCATTTATTTATTAATGCCACTATTAAGGAACCCAGTTCTGGATTAATGGTGAATAATTACCCATAAAAATAGTGTAATACACAGTAGTGGTCAAAAAGACAGCTAGGACATTAGGAAATATCAGGAAAGAAACTAAGAATAAAACACATCAATATGATCCATGCTGCACATTTGTGCTGAATACAATGATAGAGAAAGTACAGAGGGATTAGACTGAAACATTTCCATACATGGGCAGATTAGGAGTAGTAGGACACTTTTAATCCTGGACAAGAATCCTGAAGCCTCAGAGGAAGGTTTGATGGGGAGGGCCAGTGGGATATATTAATTCTAAATATTCTATTCTGGTCTAAAGAAATGCATAGAAAACATCATAATAAGCAGTGATTCAGAGGGAAACCTCTGGCACATGGAGACTGTAATCTGCTGACTACCAGAAGCTGGGAGAGGATAACAAAGAAAGATAATACTTGCCTTGGTCTTGCATTATTCTTTAAGTATCTTGTCTCAGGCATCAGGCTCTGGTGGTACTAAGCTAGATAGTCTGGCCTTATGTAGTTTATCTCTTCTTAGCATCTCCTTGTGTGAGATTCACTTCATCTCCCTTTGGATAAGGAATTCTAAAGTGAAGAGACCTACACCTGAAGTTGTCATCAGAGGCTCCTATTATGTTGAGAATCGGGCATTTTTAGGACATGATTCCTGCAAACGAGTTTAGACACTCTCGTGTCTAACCCCAACGAGCAGCCAGCCCCACACCATCACTTCAAAGATCTCCTTCTTCTCTACCCCACTTTATGCACTGAGCATGATGTCATATGGTCTCTACCCCACTTTATGCACTGAGCATGATGTCATATGGTCTGGACTGTCCCTTTGGTTGACTGGCATCACCTGTCCTGGCTGTGTCTCCTGTGTCTCCTCCCATCCTTCCACACACCCCCAGTCTCCTCACCTGTACAGCAGTACAAAAGGTAAAAGAAAAGTTCTGTGTATGCCCTGCTCAGCAACAGAAAAAACTTCTCTATATTATCAGCCCAGTGTTCAGCATGATGCCCTGCTCAGCAACAGAAAAAACTTCTCTATATTATCAGCCCAGTGTTCAGCATGAATCTGAAACACAGCCCCAAACCAACCACTGTGAGGAAAATTAACTCTACCCAAAACCACCACAGACATCTACCTCAGAATGAGATGAATCATACGTCATAAACATTTGTTTCTCCCCATTGACTACAAAGACAGCCAGAAGTGATGATTTTTATTGTAGATGTTTATATTTAGTCAGATTAATCTCACCCATTCTTTTATTTCTCCTACTGATATTAGGATAATACTGGTTAGGAGTGAAGCAGAGTAGAAACAAGGGAAATTAAGTACTGTAGATGCACATTCATGAAAATTACCCAAACTAAATTCTGTTATTTCCAGGGATTCAGGAGAAGTTAATGGGCTCATACGGCAGTTCAATTCTTTTCATGGCTTAACCATGATAGGCAACTAAGTACCATGCAGTCACTCTCTCATGACCTCACAGCAAGATGGAGGGAGAATCAGAAGGGTAAAGGTGAGAAAATATGTGCTGAGATAAAGACAATTTAATTATTTGAAAAACTAGAGGGAAAAATTGACAACTGAAAAAAAAAAAATATGACACAAAAGAAAATTGCACACCACCAACCAAAGGATGCCCAGCCAGTACATTAGTTATGGCAGCCCTCCTGAAACTTCCACCCCCCAGCTTTTATTGCTGAGGGTGATGCCATATGGTCTGGAATATCCTTTGGGTGAGCTGTGGTTGGCTGTCCTGTCAGGTCCCTTCCCGACTTCTTGTACATTCCCAGCCTACTCACTGGTGGGGCAGTCTGAGAAGCAGAAAAGGCCTTGACTCTGTGTAATCACTCAACAGTAACCAAAATATCCTGATGTTATCAACACCATTTGCATCAGAAATACAAAACACAATCCCCCACCGTCCTCTGTGAATAAATTTAACTCTTTCCCAACCAAACCAATCAGAATAAGGAAAACCTCCCATAGACAACTAGTTGGCACCATCTACACAGCGCTCTAGAGAAATTTTGTAGCTGCATTTCTGACCAGGATATCTATGGTGTAAGGAAGCCCTTCCTAGGATTCCTCCATCACCTATTGGGAAAAGGATGAAAGCAGTCCATTTTGGCAAAGCCTGTCAGCTAGCACTGGTAGCAAGCTGAATTTTGTGACTATCTATCTATCTATCTATCTGTCTATCTATCTATGTTGAGAATATCTATATCTATCTATCTATCTATCTATCTATCTATCTACCTACCTACCTACCTACCTACCTACCTATTTATACTACACCTAAAATGCACAGAAGTGAGAAGACTTTCTTGCCATGGACAGGTTCAAGCAGGTACCTCCCAGGATTTTCTTTTCACAAGTAACACTACCTGAACATACATTGTCAACACACAGGCAAAGAGCTGACAAAATATTTTATCATGCACACTTAAATGCAAACAACCAAAACTTCCCAAGTTCTAGACAGTCGTCTTTTTTATGCAAAACACTTCACTAAAACCATTGTGTTTCTGCTTAAAAACATGACAATAAGGTCAGGCATGTAGAATTTCCACCTTCAGTGGTGGTCCAAATTTCTCTTGTGCTTGAGTTTAAGGCAAAAAAGATGTGGTGCTGTTTATTCTGGTTTGGATTAAAAAATGAAAAATAAATATTTTTCATGGAATCTTACAGGGTTTTTGGCCTTCCTGAATGACATTGCATCTGGATTTCTCCACCCTTTTATTTGGGTGGGAGACCCAAATGGAACTCACTAGCACAACCTTTGGCATCTCCAAAGT